ATGTACACTCATTCCAAAGCCTTTGCAGCTTCGGCTCTACCATGAGAGTACTCGAACCCCATGCTTTGCATGTGTCTTTCCATCTCATTCGCAGGTAAACCTTTGGTGCACAAATCAGCTACGTTCTGCTTTGTCGGGATCTTCACCAGTTCGAATTCATGTAGTGCAAGCTTTTCTTGCACCCACAGAAAGCGAGTTTGAACATGCCGTGAGCGGCCTAAGCCCTGACGGTTACATGTTCCCAGCGCAGCGGATGAATCTGTGTGCACTTTAAGTTTTGGTTGTAGGCCCCATCCTCGCAAGATCTCCTGTAGCGACATTCCGATGGAAACTCCTCGAACGATCGAGTAGTATTCCGCTTCACCGGAACTCAAGCTGATCGTGCTCTGAAGAGTGCTCGAGGCCTTCACCGTGTGGCGGCCAAAGGTTGCCACAAGTCCACTTGTTGAGCGCCTTGTAAGAAGACACCCAGCGAAGTCGGAGTCCACGTACATGTGGATCGTGTCAGCAAACTTCTGGCGACCAAACTTCAAAAGTACACGTGGTTTCCCTTTCAGAAATCTCACCTAGCGTTTCAGATCCTGAAAGTCAGATTCTTTGGGCTCATGCATTCTTCTTGATAGGCATTTCACTGCCTCCGCGATGTCAGGTCTGTCCTGTGCCACATACGACGCTCTCATCACCAGAGACCGGAAGAAACTTACACGGTCCGGTGTGATGGTCGGGGTGGTCAACTTCAAGTTGGCCTCCGTGGCTGACATTTTCTCAGATGGTGTCTTGACTGGCTTACAGTTTTCCATTTCTAGATCTCGTACCATCTGGTCAACGTGGCGGGGATCCGCCTCATAGGATACAGAGCCTTCCTGCTCGTTGTAGGTCACGATTCGATTGAGCACTGCGAACTGCTGATGCCGTTCTCCAGGACCGATCGATCCATCGACCCGCAGATCATATTTGGACCTCAAGGTGTCCTCAAGGTATTTCTGTCCAGCATCATCAGCAAGCACCACGAAGTCATCTCCGTGTACAAGAACTCGAATACCACCGTAACCTTCATGGTAAAAGCAGGATGGCCAAGCTTGATTCTTGGCAAAACCAGCTCGGATGAGAAGTTCTGTATATGATCTTTGCCAGATCGCTGATGCATCGCGTGTTCCATACATGCTCTTAACGAGCTTGCCACAAAACCCTTCTTGTCGATCTCCTTCAGGTAACTGCACGAAGATATCACGCTCTGCCTCTCCATAGAAGTGAGCGCGTGATATGTCAAGAAGACGAACTTTCAGTGCATTGCCAGACTTGGATCGTCTCAAAGTCACCATAAGCGATAGAAGCAATTTCAGCGATTCCAAAGGCGGCATCGAACTGAAGGACGCATAGTCCGGAATGAAGTCAGCATTGCTGGCCCGTTTGATCTCTCTACAGACCAGACGTGACCTGTAGTTGGGGTGTGTTGCATCCCCTTTGTTTCTGTCAATCCATTTCATGGTGATGACCGGTTTTCCAGACTGTTGGGCTTCTGTGAGTGGAACTTTGATATAGATACCCTGTTTGTGTACCCATGCTAGTTCTTCTTGTCGAGCAGCTCTGACCTTGTCAACATCCAAGACAGCACCGGAGTGTGCGTCAAGCACTGGCTCCACGATGGTGTCATCGCTGTCGGGCAGCTGCTTCCAAAACTCCTCCTCTTCATTGATCACAGGTCCAGCATCGGGTACTGGGCCATGTGAAAGTGAGTGTAGTTCTCCATCACATTCCAGTTGGCGCCTAATGGCCTTGAGAATTGCGTGGACAAGCTTTGGTGGGTATTTCTGGGCAGCTCGGGCTCGTCCATCAACAAGATGTACATGGCGGTGCCAAACTTTGCCTTCTTTGTTTGAACAGCACCCTTGTAGGGTCTGTGCCAGGATTGGAGAGTTCGTGAGCCAGGTAGTTTCTTTCTTCACTAACCCTTCACCTTGGCCATCGGCGGCCTTCATTCCCCAACGGCACATTGGTCCAGTGACCTCATACACCCGTTCATCTGCCCTCAGTCTCTTCACAGCTCTCTCTTCCCACGAAGCGGCCCCTTTAGGGTGCTCATGGTAGAAGTACCTTCCAGCATTCATTTGATGCTCATACGCTGAAACTGCCGTGCGCAGATGTTTGCGACCATCTTTTAGTCTCTGCGCTCGAACTTCAGGTGAAACATTGCCCTTCGCATCCACAATGCTTTGCAGCTTCGAGAATGGCCCACAGGGAGGTGAGCCGCCGAGGAACTCTGGTTTCTCATAGTCAAGCAGTTGAAACAGATCACGAATGTGTTCATCTTTACTCAAGTCCCAGTGAGTTCCATCACCACGCTTTGTCTCCAAGTCAATCGAGAAGCCAGGTGCTAGCCCGACCACTTGGGCTTGTGCAGCCACACGCGGTGGAGAGAAGATCTCAGCAACCTTCCCTTTTGCGATCACATCTTTGAGCAAGGAACACAGATGTAGCATCTCCTGGTTTGTCTCAGGACTTGTTGGTGCAGCGGCAGCACCTTCCGGAACACCAGATGAAGCATCCGGTGCCGGTGGTCCGGCTGACCCTGAAGCCTGAGCTGAAGATTCATTGTAAAGATCTTCAACGTCGACTTGTGAACTCCTTTTCTCTCCTCGGGATTGTTCTTGTTTCTGCCTCTTTGGGCTTCCTTCTCTTTCTTGTTCTCTCTGTCTGAGTTCTCCACGAAAATCGGTGTCGACCAGTGGTTCACCAACAGCCTCACTTGCATCCATTTCCGCATCCAAAGGAACACGGTCTTGCAAGACTGGTTGTTCAACTTCCCCTCCTGGGACAACTGGTGGTGTAGCTTCACCACCTTCTGCCCCACCACCCTCAGGCGGTGCAGCCGCGCCTCTTGGGCGCCTGCCTTGTGCAACTCTCTCTCTCGCTCTTTTGATCCTTTCTTGACCTTCTGGAGTCTTGTCAAGTTCGATCTGGATTCTTTGTCTGCACTCAGCATTGTGAGCTCGGCTTGGCATCTCAAGTATTGCTGCTTCACATCCAGGACACAAAGGTGTGTGCCCATGCTTTTCCAAGTCATTCTTGGTGACATAGAGGTTCCTTGGGATCACTTCTTGCACTGCAGGCCTTTCACGAGGCGCTGCAACATCGGGAAGGGCGATCCTCAGTCCACCATGTTCTCGTTCTTGCAACCTCCAAGGAAGGCCACGTAGCGAGTCAAACTGATCATGTTTGAACTGATCGTCAGGTGGGCGTCGATGGATCGAGTTCCCCTTCATGATTCCACGTTCCGTCATGACAAAGACGTCTGAATCTCTGTTTCCAGTTCCAACGTACATCCCAATGGATACCCTTGGAGCAAGGTCATTTCTCTTGCCCCCACGATTGGCCCTCGGCCTATACAGGATGCTTTCACCGAACCTCACAAGCGGAATCCGCCATTTTCGTCCATAGGTCCGCTCAAAAGCGGTCTTTCCATCAGTACCTACTCGGTATCTCGTCAAGAGAAAGGCAGCATGCCGCGGGAGCCAAACCAAAAGTGGATGGCCCGGATCTACCTTCCTTTCCAGCTTGAACTCCAGGTCGCTGAGGAGAGCACGACATTGTCGTTTTATCTCTCGCACTCCCACTTCGATAAACCCATTGGCTTGATGGTCTTCTACTGGGGTTTCCACCAAGTGCACTTCGATGTGGGTCTTTATCTCCTTAACCTTCTGTTTAAGGGATACCAAGGAGGGTTCACCGTCAGACTTAAGGATTACCTTATTAAAACCAGCATCATCCAAAACTCCCCCAAGCCACGCGATTGCGAACGCATCCGCCCCTTTTCCCGGGAGAACGCTCGCCCAAAATCTCTTGGTCTTGTGGCACTTCGCCACAATGCTCGGAAGGGTCGCCTCATCCGCAACCTGGTCCTGGTTCATATAGAAGTAGTCCAGGCTCAGCGTGGGCAACTGCGTTTCTGGCTCATCAAGTTCCTTAGGCACATGGCGATCAGCAGTCACACGTGCCCTTTTGCAGTGCAAGCACCAGCTCCGATGGACAACATGTCCAGTGCTTTCATGTTCGTCAACTTCAGCTTGGGATGGTTGATGTGGTTCTTTCTTCACAATGGCTTTCCTCTGTTCTTCACCGATTTCCAAATCAACTTCATCTTCAAAGGCATCTGCTCCGGCTGAAGCAGCTGGAACATCGCCTGAGGACCCTGCTCCGGCCGAAGCGGCTGAAACATCGCCTCCATCTTCCATGGCATCGGCTCCGGCTGAAACAGCTGGATCCTCGCCAACAGCGTTGATTTGTGGTCTTACTCCTCTTGAGGATGCCCCTGAAAAGGTGACACCCAATAGTCCAACACATAGATGCCTCGGCGATTGTGCACAATGGGCATTGAATCGCCATAATCTCGGATCAGATCTTTCACGGCCTTCGAATAGGCCCGTCCCGCAGGAGTGTTTCTTGGGATCAATCTCCCCGAAGATGGTCCAAGGGCGATGTGGTAGTTCTTGGCGATCTCGGAACCTGAAAGAAGTGGCCGATGCACATCTGCAACTCGGCAATCGATTGGGATCTTGTTGCCAGATTCGTCGTATCCCACCAGCTTCACACTTCCCTGATCTTCGATGGGTTCCGCATTGGCTGCCTTGTAGCTTGCTCCATTGGACTCGCTCCTCGGGTAGTCCTTGGCGAAGTCAAGTGGTACTGCAGTGATGGCAGCACCGGTGTCGATGTTCAACTCTGCTCGTTCCCATTTTCGCCAGTCGTCAGAGGCCCCCAAGCTGTAGACTGCAGCAGGAGCCGATCCAGCTCCACCATCGGGGTCTCCTCTGCCTGGTCGGTCTCGAGGCTCATCAGGCTCTTCGATGTAGACCTCTTCCATTTCATCATCATCTTCATCTGCGTTCACTTCAGTGTTTTCCTTCAGAACCAAGGCTGGTCGGTTCTTCCTCGCCATCTTGCGCGCCACATTGCGGTTCCGATTCTTCTTCACCCTGTACCCAACGCTTCGAACACGCTTGGTCATGGGTTTCTTCTTGGGATCCTTCCGCAGCAACTTGGCCTCGTCGTCCGGGAACTGCCTCAAAGTTTTCCGCTCTTCCATTGAAAACTCTATCACTGTGCTCTGACCAGCTTTGCCCACAACCACCGTCTCGATGCCCGCATCCAAGTTGTCTTCATCCTCGATTCTCACTATGCCTTCTGGATTTTCTGGGTTGTCAAAGCGTTCATGCCATTCTTTGTCAAGTCGAATCCTTTCAGCCGCACGTGCCTTGACTCCTCCTCGTCGGTGGACGATTGCACGTCTTCTCAAACGTTCATTTCTCCAGGCCACATTGTGTGCAACACCTTTGGCAATCTCGGCATGGTATCTCGAGTCGTGGAAAGAAGGATCGCTGATGTTCTGCTTTGTGATGTGCGGTGCCTTGACAGATCTAGTCCTCAAAGCCGCTAACATCGCATCTGCCTGGCCATCTCCTGAACCAGGATCTTCTTCTTGGACTTTGCGGATTTGTGAACTCAGCGCAGCCTTCAGCATCTGGACAAGTCGAGAACCTGAAGTCGAAGCTGCCGATGATGCCTTGACAGGTGGTGTGGCTTCACCTGAGAGCTTTGCCATCCCGGTGGTGGACATGGCGGAGTCTTGGGTGAAGCTACTTGGCTTTGCCATCCTGGTGGTGGTCCTGGTGGAGTCTTGGGCGAGGCTATCGGCTGTTGTGGAGGTGATGCAGGCCATGCTATAGGTGTCGGTGGTGTCTTTGGCAAAGGTGTAGAGCTACGAAGAAGTTCTTCTGGAGTCTGTGGCCCATGCCTCAACCTTCTCCTTGGTGGTGGTGTCATCGAAGTCATTCGAAAGCGTCGGAGTGCTGACTCCGGAGTGACTGGCCCTGATCTGCTTGCTTTGCCTCTCTTTGGTGTTGAGCTCTTTGGACTTCTGCCCCTCTTGGGTCTTCCCTGTGGCGTTCGAGGTGCCTTGGAAGACGCGGACTTGGATGTAGTGGTCTCGTGCTCGGTGACCTCCTCCAGTCGAAGCGACCGAAGGGGTCTTGAGCCACTCGATCCACTCGGTCCATCATAGTCGGGGTCGTCCCACTCTTCAGGCCATGACGCACGTGGGTGAGGCAAAGAAAACCACCTTCTGCGACTTGTCGAGGCTTCCGACTCCTCGGACTCGGGATCGACCTGGAAACTTTCGTCGTCATCCTCGTCATGTGGTGGCCCATCAACGCCATAGAGCGTTAAACCATTTGCTGCTTGTTGACCATCGTCGCCATCAGCTGCGTCCCAGTCTTCTGCTTCTGGTTCACCTTGTTCGACATTGTTCACAGATTTGCCTCCTTTGGGCTTCTGCTTGTGCTTTCCGGGGCTGCCTTTGCCCTTGCCCTTGTCCTTATTCTGATTGCTGTTGCCTTTGCCACCCGTCCCCTTATGTTTGGGGCCTCCAGGTGCCCAGCAATCTGCCCGCAGATGTCCTGGGCGTCCGCAGTTGTGACATGTTCTCTTCTCAGCTGTTGCATTTCCCTTTCCAGGTTTTCCTCCAGCTCCCTTCTTGCCCTTACCTTTTCCCTTCGCATCTTTTCCAAAGCTTCCGACATCCATAGGATCGTCCCCACGGCCATGTGCGTCGTAGGGCTGGCTATTCACCACCTTGATCTTGTTGCCGGTGGCATGTTCCACATAGGACTGGATCTCGGACAGCATGGACTCGAACGTCTTGAAGCGATCTCGATTGAGAACGAGATGACGCTCGAGCTCTGCCGGCACCAATCGTTCAATCACGTTGATCTTGATGTCTTCTGCCAACATCGTTCGGTTGCCAGATGCGTCTTTGCGACGTTCATAAAGTCTGATGCTGTCAAGAAGCTTCTCCAGGTTGGACGGCAAATCTTCCATCTTGGACCGAGCCGGTGACAAGATTGCATTGAGGAGAGCGCGTTTGCGACCACCAGTGGATGGGTCGTACCTCCGCGTGAGCTTTCTCCAGCTTTCGATGCCGCATTCCCCGGTGTTCAGCACGATGTCAAAGGGCTCACGCTCTGTCAGCATTAGCAGCGCGTCCCAAAGCTCGCGTCTCAATTCACTGATGTTCGACACCTGGTCAATGGCATCTGCTTGACTCCCAAAAGCCTTGTCGATGTCATCTGCAGTGATTGCATGATCGCAATCTTCGGCCCAAACCAGAATCTCACGAAGGTCTTTGCGAACACTTGCAAGATAGGAGGACGTCTTGATTTTCCATGACAAGAATCTTTCGGCTGTCCCATCAAACTTGTCGGGCTTGCCAAGGCCCTTGTTGTCGACCAACCGGACTTGTTCTTTCGATCTAAGGGCGTCCACAAGCTCCTTTTGTGACTGCACCAACTGTGCCAGTGCACTGCCAGGTCCAGCTGAAGCAGCCGAACCGGCACCAAAAGAAGCGACCTGTGCTGTCAGTTCAGCTTCTCGGCCTCTTAGTCGATTGACCTCGGTCTGTAGTTCCTGGAGCGACTGGAGGACCTGTGCCGCTTGTTGTTGGTCCATTGCTAAGACCCTGGAGCGTATCGCTCCGCTACCATGAACGGAGAATATGCAACTCGCTATTTTAGCAGCGGTGTTCTTGAGCCAAAGGTTGGCGTAGCAACTAGTGAGAACCCTATATCCCGTCAATATATCATATATCATCATATATCCCACTAGAAACCATTGTCGTTGTCATCTCCTGGAAGCCACCCATTGACCTTGGAGTAGTGAAGCCAGCCGCTGAAGGAAAAGAGCAGGGAGAAGTAGGTGCTACCGACCTCGGAGTCGAAACGAAGCGTTAAGAAGCGGTTTGAAGTTCTCACGGGATATGTAACTATAAGGTAATCATCCTATATGATTTATGTATATGATAAATTATTAACTATGGTTATATGATGTTATATGATGATGTTTTAAATTGGGATAAGCTGCTAAGCATCATTCATATGGGGCTTTCCTACAAGGTGGTGCCCCCAGTCGATAGCGTTCAGTTGGTGAACATAACTCGAATTTCCCTATGGTTTATAGGTGATATATCGAACTAGTTAATGGGATTTATAAACCAAGTTTAACTAGGGGGGAACCACCTTGTAGAATGGGAATACACCCCAAAATGGTTGGTTTATAATGGGGAGGGTGCACCATTGAAGTATCAGATTATCAAATGATTATCACTATTTGGGGAGTACCCTCCATATTAGCTAAATTATGGTTTATTTATCTGGGGTTGACATTATGGATCTTTTGCGGTTGTTCATCATAATTCATGGGGGATGTAACCATCAAAACTTGGAGTGCCAGGTGGATATAACATGATATAACTGGCCCCCCAAGTACATTTGACGGGGTCAATTGGCATACCATGCGTCTTCATTCACCTATTTGTTCAGACCCATACATTCTCTATAGGTGAAAAGTCAAACCATGTAGACATCCAATCATGGAGGTGCTCCCTCGTCCAATTCACCAAAGCAGGGCCGCTAGTCACCTTGGACGAAATTTGTCGAGCGTTTCTCCCTGGCTACATAGACTGGCTCAACTTTGACGTCAATCGCTTCACCAGCTGTCTTTTCAGCATCTCAAATGATGAACCACCCTGTTTGGAGTGGCTTGAGCAAGCGGTAGAGTCCTTTTGGAAACGGCTATTTTTGCGACCTCCACAGCCCTCAGGTCCCCTATGAATGGAAGGTTCAATTGCCACGTTTGATTGCCCTTCAGAATCAAAAGCTTCGTGGCTATCTAGATATGGATCAAAATTGAAGTGCAAATTGACCTTAGAGTTGTGTGATCCTGAAGATCTGTATCCATTCATGTGTTATCCATTCACTTGGGTTGATAAACTGATAATTAATGATAATTACCTTTGACACATACCCTCTGGTAAACATAGCTATTGAACATGGTCATAGAAATAGTTACGATTTACCGGTCGAGACCAACTAGTAACTAGTAACTTATTGAAAATGGTCATAGAAATAGTTACTACTTATAGTTTATGGGTTTTTCAAAAATCGAACTTCAATCACCATAGCTAATAGCTAAATCATCATTTTCCTCAGTTAAATCACCATTTTTTGGTTGATTTACCCTTTCAAAATGGTGATTTTCCATGATTTTCCCTAGCTAAATCCCATAGAATCACCATTTTCCCTCGTTAAATGGTGATTTTCCCTACTTCTCACTGGGTTCCCAGGCCGGGTCCCCAGTGGTTTCCCCAAATCTTCCCCCCTTTGTTTCGAAGGGACGATGAAGCCCACGAGGCGATTGCGCGGGCTGCTGGCAACCTGGCGGTTTTAGATTCACCCCATGATGTATGGGATTATATATATGGGTAATGCTGCTGGCAATCCCAGTATTTCCCATATAATCCCAGTAATCCCATATTTTTTCTGGAAATACCGGGAAATACTGCGATGATGTATGGGATTATGTATGGGATTATGTATGGGATTATATGGGATTTCATAGGAATTTAACGGATAAATAGGGATTTGTTTCTGGGACTTGTCCATGGGATTATGTATGGGATTTAGTGGGCTTAGTGGGATTTAATGGATTATGTATGGGATTTGGCAACCTGGAAATACTGGAAAATACTGGGATTATGTATGGGAATCATATGGAATTACTGCGATTATATGGGATTATGTATGGGATTATGTATGGGTATGGGATGATGAAATTCCCAATATGTGTAAAAATAGATTTCATGTTCCAAACCACCAACCAGTATAGTTACAAGTTATAAAGTATCATAAACATTCATAATAGTGATGTTCACCAACTTAGCTATAATTATCATAAACATCAAAAACTTAGTATCACCAACTTACTACAGTTATAAGTATCATATACATTCATAAACATAGTATCACCAACGTACTATAGTTATAAGTATCATAAACATTCATAAACATAGTATCACCAACTTACTACAGTTATAAGTATCATAAACATTCATAAACATAGTATCACCAACGTACTATAGTTATAAGTATCATAAACATTCATAAACATAGTATCACCAACGTACTATAGTTATAAGTATCATAAACATTCATAAACATAGTATCACCAACTTACTAGTTATAAGTATCATAAACATTCATAAACATAGTATCACCAACGTACTATAGTTATAAGTATCATAAACATTCATAAACATTCATAAACCCAATCGTGAGTTATTGGAGTTATGTTGCCCCCTGGCCTGAACGCTACCGGCGACCGATATTTTTTACAACCCCCAGAAAGCCATGGCGACCGACAAAGTCAGGATCCAAGCTGCGTTTTGTTTTTCACAGCGGGAGAAAAACTAACAACCTGAAGTTATGTGGCCCCAGTGAAAAAAAGCGGGGTAAGTGATGTTATTCCATGGCGTTACAACCTATTTGCTAACTGGGGTGAACCACCAAGTTTTAAGCGTTATATCCCATCAAATCCCCGTGAAATCCCATCAATGGGTGGGTTTTTCATGCCTAAGGTTGAATCCCCATGTTGAAACCCCGCTGCGTGTGCCCAGCGTTCCCCGGTGTTCCCCGCTGCCTGATTACGATGCGCAATCAGCAAGCACCGAGAGAGGTAAGAGACACCTCAGTGGCCGCAGTCTTGGCTTGAAATTGGAGGCCCAATTTATGTCTGAATAATTGAGGTTTGAATAGGAAAATCATCATCATCATCATCATCATCATCTTCATCATCATCATATATATATATATATATATATATACCATCTGGTTATTTAACATAGCCACAGAAAATCACCATTTTTAAGAACGGTAAACCATCTATTTCGAAAAAAGGGCCATGGCTATTTCCCATGGCGAACTGTTAGTCAGTCATAACCAGGCCGGGTATTTTTTTGGTGGATTTGCCAGCCAGGGAGCTGATTACTGGAGGCTTTTTATGATAGAACTATACCCTCTGGTAATTTGTTGCATAGCAATGGAAAATCCACCCATTTTTAATGGGAAAATCCACTATTTCTATGGCCAGCTATTCAATAGCAAACTGTTAAATTACCAGAGGGTACGTTTTCACATCGCTTCACCCGGAATTTTGGCATTGCCAAAGGCTCGAGCTTCGATGGCAGGTCATAGCAAGAAAGCTTGGGAGCCCAGTGAAATGTCACTCGGAAATCTCCCACGAACTCTCTGACCGAAATGTCATCCCTGTAGACTGTCGAAACTTCATAGCAATTCCCATGGCTGACAATACTACCCCATGGCGAGGTACAAGGTCCAATAACTATTATACATATATACATTTATATATATATACATATATATATGGTCCCGTCCTCCGTCTCTCCCCCCCCCCCCCCATGGGTTGGGTCCCCAGGTAGTAGCCCCAATTCCCTTCTATTTGCAAGCTATTGGCAGCATTTCTGAGGTCCAGCGTCGTATTTGCTAGGTCTTTGCAGCATTTCTGACTACCAGCCTCGCATTTACTAGGTACATGCTACCTTTTAGGCGACCTACGTAGCACACATACTCCTTCAAAGTACCTACGTGCTACCTATAGTCATACATACATGTGCTATGTATCTACTGTATCTACTTCCTGTTTACTACCTGTGTACTCTGACAACACTACCTCTGTTGAACATATACCGTACCTACCATACATGTCAATGATGCCATGCATACCATACCTATCATATCTATCATACATACCATACATACCATACATATGAAATGTAATTACCACACCTACCATACATACAATAGCATACATACAATAGCAAGCATACATGCCATACATACCATACCTACCTTAGATAGGACATATTCCATACCCATCATAGTAACCATACATACCATACAGACCATACATACTGTCATATCAAACATACCATATCCAACAGACTTACATACCATACCTACCATCCATACAATACCAACCACTCATGCCATACATACCATACCTACCATACATACCAAACATACCATACTTTCCAAACATGCCATACCAGACCGACCATACACACCATACATACCCACCATACCATACCACACCCCCACCACACCACAGGGGGGGGAGGGGGACAGTGCCACACCCCCACCACACCACAGGGGGGGGAGGGGGAAGATCTCATATGGGACCAGTATATGGGACCCATCCACCACACCACAGGGGGGGGAGGGGGACAGTGCCACACCCCCACCACACCACAGGGGGGGGAGGGGGAAGATCTCATATGGGACCAGTATATGGGACCCATCCACCACACCACAGGGGGGGGAGGGGGACAGTGCCACACCCCCACCACACCACAGGGGGGGGAAGATCTCATATGGGACCAGTATATGGGACCCATCCCATATGGGGGGGGGAGGGGGGGGGGTGGCAGGGCCTGGTGCATATATACTGTATATATTATATATCATCCCAATTAATTCCCATATGTTCCCATATATTCCTATGAATTTTACCATATTTTACCATGACATCACGGTGAAAGCCGCATCTTTTTCCACCGAAACCCAGCGATGTCCTCCTCCGACGACGACTCCACCGTC